CCCCAAAACCCCAAAACCCCAAAACCCCAAAACCCCTCGTAAATTAATAAAATAGAAATTTTTATATTACACAATCATAAAACAAATTCAGTATTCTTCTTCTCATGATGAAACTAAGATATAACTCCAAGCTAAAGCCACAAAGACTATTATCGTGATTCTAATTCTAAAATTTACCAAATTTATCCATAATTTAAGGAATCTTAAGCAAACCACTACGCCAGGGGATAAGCTTAATAATTGTTCTTATCACTTTGCTCTCTCTTTATAAAGAAATCTCTTCTTTAACAAGCAAGATAGTTCAACCTAAACCATGCCTGAAATTGCATAAAGAGTAATTTCAAAATAAGAACAGTAAAGGGATAGCACCAAGGTTCTTCAAACTCCCATGCTACCCTAATGACTGAGGTGTATGGACTGCAAAGATATTTCCATAATTCAGGTAAATCAAGGAACGTGGGGTTTATTAACAAACTATTATGAAGCAATTGTCCTAAGACAAGGAAAAATAAAAAGTAGCAACTACATCTTACAATATATCACCTGCTTTTGTAGTAAGAATTTGCATAGAGACTTTAGAATACGAAACTTCACTATTTGTGCACAAAGAAGAGGAATAGGCATTACGATAGATGTTGTGGGTCGTCCAGAATTTTTGAGTTTGATCCATCCAGATATCTGGTGATTCAAAACAAGACATGAAACTAAAGATAAAATCTTCTTAGAAATGATGCCTCATCAATATTCCAATATTGGATTCATTCGGTACGATAATAGCTTCTTAACTCCTGTGCCCATTTAGCTCAACGTATAATGGACTAACAGGATATATAATGGAAGCGACACAAGATATCGTAACTCCATCTGTGCTTATAAAGCAGAGTTCCAAAAATTGATATCTATTGATGTAAGAGAATTGTTAAGCATACTTAAGTTCAAGTATTCCCTCGTCATGGTTCTTGGCTTAATTATTGATAATGGTGCAGATAATAATTCAATAACATACAAAATTAATGGGGTTTTGGGGTTTTGGGGTTTTGGGG